CTATTGACAGGATCATATGGTTTTTATCTTCTCTTTTGTTAATGTGATGTATCACATTGATTGTTTTGCGAATATTGAACCAGCTCTGTAACCCAGGAATGAGTCCCACTGGATCATGGCAGATAATTCTTTTTATGTGCTATTGAATTCAGTTTGCAAATATCTTGTTGAGGATTTTTGCATCTGTATTCATCAAGGATATTGGCCTAGTTCTCTTTTTTTTGCTGGATCTCTGTCTGACTTGGAATCAAAGTGATGCTGGCTTCGTAGAATGAATCTGGAAGTTTCCCTTCCATTTATATTTTTTGGAACAGCTTGAGAAGAATGGGTATTAATTCTGTTTTAAATGTCTGGTAGAATTCCCCAGGGAAGCCATCTGGCCTAGGGCTCTTATTTGTTGGGAGATTTTTGATACCTGATTCAATGTCTTCACTAGTTATGGGTCTGTTCAGATTTTCTATCTCTTCCCATGTGAATTTTGGTAGGGAGTGTGTGTTTAGGAATTTGTCCATTTCTTCTAAGCTGTCCAGTTTGTTGGCATATAATTTTTTGTAGTATTCCCTGATAATTGCTTGTATTTCTGAGGAGTTGGTTGTAATAAGTCCATTTTCATTCATGATTTTGTCTTTTTGGGCGCTCTCTTTTCTTTTTGTGAAGCCTGGCTAGAGGTTTGTCAATTTTGTTTATTTTTTCAAAAAAAAAAAAACAAGTCTTGGTTTCATTGATCAATGAATTGATCGATCTGTTCAACTGATTTTTTGGAATCTATATATTTTATTATTTGTCTTTTCCTACTAGGTTTGGGATGCCCTTGTTGCTCTGCTTCTAGTTCCTTTAGGTGCATACAAGGTACAAGATTTTGTACAGGCACTTTTTTCTAATTTCTTGAAATAGGCCTGGAGTGCAATGTACTTTCCTCTTAGGACTGCCTTTGCCACATCCCATAGAGTTTAGATTGTTGTATTTTTATTTTCATTTATTTCCATAAATTTTTAAATTTCTTCTCTAATTGCTTGACTGGCCCATTTATTCTTTAGTAGCGTCTTCTTTAACCTCCATGTATGTTTTATGGTTTATTTTTGAGATAGACAGAGACAGAGCATGAGCGTGGGAGGGGCAGATAGAGAGGGAGACACAGAATCTGAAACAGTCTCCAGGTTCTGAGCTAGCTGTCAGCACAGAGCCCAACGTGGGGCTCAAACCCATGACCCATGAGATCATGACCTGAGCCGAAGTCTCACCCAACTGACTGAGCCAACCAGATGCCCCCAGGAAGTGTTCTTTGAATGCTGTCTTTTGGTCTCTCTTGTTGAGACTTTGGTTATTTTATTTCCCTACTCCTAGTGATATTTGGGACTCTCCACGATGTGTACTTTGGCTTGTTTCTTGAGGTAGCCCTGGAAAGGGAAACAGACAGACAAACACACAGGGAACAAAAGCATGCAAATGCACACACAAATCTAGCAAACACACAAACCAAAAGGGAAAAAGAGAAGGAAAAAATAAGGAGGAAAAAAGGAGGAAGGAGGAAAAACAAATAATAAAAATAAAAAATATATAAAAAATTAAAAGGAAGAAAAAAGAAAAAAGCCCCAAAGACAAAGGACAGTCTAAAAGCATAGAACCAGAATTCCCAGCTACAAATCAAGAGCAGGGTGTATGCAGTGCTGATGGAAGTGCATATACAAAGAGAGAAAAGACAGGTTAGGGAGGAAGTGAAATTGGAAGAGAAATGACCAGGCAGAGAGACTAACAGGCTTAATTCAGAGAGAGAAAGAGGAGAATATGGTTAAGAGGCGAGGAGAAAGAAACGAAGATAATGTTACTCAGAGAAACTATATAGTCTGATTCCTCCAGGGAGAGAGAGAGAGAGAAAGGTAGCAGTGGAGGTGTAGAATATACATCTAGAGAATGGATTAAATATGACTATTTAAGCAAACCAGTGACTAGAGTGCCCAGTCCAGCAGAGGGGAGGGATACGAATGAGACAAGGGAAAATATATCTGAATAGAAAGAATTGATCTAGAATTAATCACGGTAGTGCATCTGTGTTGGTCTTGCCCCGGGCTCTGGAAAAAAAAAAAAAAAAAAAAAAAAAAAAAAGCATCTTTGTAGTGGGGATGGGTGTGGTTTGGTGCAGGCGGGTCTTGCCTCCACTGCATCCTGCTGACTGCTCCCTGAGGTCCTGCCTTGGTGGTTGTGGGGAGAAAAATGTCAGCGCCCAGTCCCTTCTTGAACCAAGCATTGCGACTCACTCTTTTGGGTCCAATCTCCCTGTGCCACAGGCATAGCCGAGGTGGACCGTGCTCTATGCCCCAAGCCAGGCCTCATTTCCAGATCTTAGTCTGCATGCCCTATTGATACCACCCAAAATATAAACTCATAGGCCGAGTCCTTCTGAGCAGTTTCCCTACTGGGAATGGAGCCAAGCCAGAAGACTGTGAGAGCGGCTTCAGGTGCACTGCTTCCCTTCCAGATCAAGCTGGCGAGCAGAGGAGTGGTTTCTCCCGGTGTCCCCTGGATCCAGTGGGTCCCACTCAAGGTCAGCTGGACAGCAGGAAACCATATCCCTCTGTGTCCCAAGTGGAGGTTTTTCTCTTCTCCAGAAAAAGGGACAGTGTCTTGAGCAGCTTCAGCCACTCTTTCTTTTCCCCTCGACTCACCGCAGCTCCTCACAGAGGGGGCTCCCTCGCCTCCCTCTGTGTCTCTGGTCCTGGCCTGATTTTATCTTCCCCAGTTCACACTCACACTAGGAGGTTTTCTCAGCAGACTCTGTCTTCTTTTCCTCCCAAACTCCTGGATTCTGTAAGAGTTCCTATGGCTTCAGGCCTTCTCCGTGTGAGAGACCGGGGCAAGTGAGATGTACAGAGCTCCCTACTTCTCCACCATCTTGCCTCCTCTCTCTCTATATTTTTTAACATGCCTAAAAATGACCTAGGAAAATTGCTATGACAGTATGTTTTATATCTACAAAAGCATGTCTGACTGCCTTGTGTTACAGTATGGACGTGCAGCTTTAAAACTAAAACTGAGTTATCCGAGCTATTGGGTTTCTTAAATGGGAAGACTAATAAACTACCCAGTGGAATTCATATCGGACATCTGGCATCTCTTTAGTTTTTTCCACAGGGAAGCTATAAACTCCGTGCACTAGATATAAGGTCAGAATGATTACTCGGGAAATTAAAATCAAAAAGGTCAAAGGGATAAAAAGTGCACAAGCATAGCACACTTTGTTAGTATGTGACGGTGAAATTTAGGGCAGTTTTTATTTTTATTTATTTTTTTGTTTCCAATTTCTTTATGTTTTCCACATTTTCAACATAAGTGTTGTTATATCGTAAAATATATTTCTAAAATAATGGTTTTCGCTTTATATATGCTGTCTAATTATGAGTATATAAAAGTATTTATCAGGGCACTTGGGTGGCTCAATCAGTTAAGCATCCAAACTCTTGATTTTGGCTCAAGAGGTGATCTCAGGGTCATGAGATCAAGCCCCATATCAGGCTCTGTGCTGACAGTGTAAAGACTACTTGGGATTCTCTCTGTCTCTTTGCCCCTCCCCTGCTTATGTGCTCTCTCTCTCTTGCTCTCTCTCTCTCTCTCTTTTTCTCTCTCAAAATAAGTAAATAAACTGAAAATAATAAAAATAAAAATATTTATAAAAAGAAATTAGATCTGTATATATCAAAATGTGATTAGCCTTTGCATTGTGGGCCTGTGACTAATTTTGCTCTTTGACCCATTTTGTGTTCTCCAATTTTCTATAGTAAGATATTTGGCCTCTATAGATAAAAATTACAAAAATAAAACACAAAATACAAAAATTAAAAATACCCAAGACATGGTATGGCTTTGTGGTGTTAAGAATGCAATTGTTACATCAGTATTGTTATATCAGTATAAGGGATTGTGCAAATGTTCCCAAAGAATTTTTGGGAAAATAACCTATTATCTGCTAATTAGAACATAAAATATGTAACAAAATCATTGAACACGGTAAAATTAAGTAACAATTATCCCTTGATTGTTCCCTCCATCCCAGTGGAATGGCCACAGCTTGGGCTCTATTACTCACTCACTCCAGGGGTTTGCAAGAACTGTCGGCATCAGTTGGCTAATTCCTGTTGTCCTGGCTGATTTGCTGTCTGCATCATCCCTATAGTCTCCCTCTAGGCAGGAAACACCCTTCAGTTTGTTCACCTTTTGCCCAGAAATGCATTTTGACTTGGGATTTGAGAATGTCGACATATAAGACAAAGGTAGATTTTGGAGACTGAAGACTGGGTGTCTCAGATGCATTGCCCTAACTGTAGCTTTATGGCTAGTGGTGATTCAGTATTATGACATCCTGTTCAACACGGTCATTCTGAGGACCCAGGCAAACAAAATGTAGGAATACAATTTTATTTTATTTTATTATTTTTTTTTATTTTAATGTTTTTTTTTTTTTTTTTTATTTCTAGCAGAGAGAGAGAGACAGTGTGAGCAGGGGAGGGTCAGAGAGAGAGGGAGTCACAGACTGAAACAGGCTCCAGGCTCTGAGCTGGCAGTCAGCACAGAGCCTGACGTGGGGCCCGAACCCACGAACCGCGAGATCATGACCTAGGCAAAAGTCGGACGCTTAACCGACTAAGCCACCCAGGCGCCCCAGGAATACAATTTTAAACTATGCTTTATGTAACTCAGAACATGTATGCACCTGAATAGCTGAATAATGTCAATATTTTCAACATAGTCATAGTAAGCTCCTTGATGTTGATGATTAACTTTCTCAAGTCTGTGAGCATATGAAGTAAGAGTCATTGTTATTAATATCTTTGGTATGTGTATATAGCTGTGTAGTTACTGTTCTTCATTGCTCTTGCTTTTTATATATTTTTTTTATTCCTAAGACTGACTCCGCTTGCGTTTCAATTAAAGAGATTATTAAATAATATTACAAAATTATTTTTTCTGCTAACATCATTGATTTTACTGTTTATCTCACAATCAAGATTTTTGGACGGCAAGCTGCTTGACATCAATAAAGACTTTCAGCCTTATTACGGGGAAGGAGGACGTATTCTGGAGATCCGAACTCCGGAGGCAGTGACCAGCATTAAAAAGCGAGGAGAAAGCCTAGGCTACACAGAGGGGGCCCTGCTGGCACTCGCCTTCATCATCATCCTCTGCTGCATCCCTGCCATCTTGGTAGTTCTGGTCAGCTACAGACAGTAAGTATTCCCACATTGAAAAGCCATCCCCGGTAATGTGGCCTTGTAGTCGTGAAACAGTAGCGATGCCACCATTGAGGGCCTTCTTGCACCAAGTAGCCTCCCTTTAAGGGGCAACGAAACAAACTTCCAGCATTTTTGATGGATTCCTCAATGTCCCCATGCTCCTAATGCACTCTCATCCAATAGGAATTTTGGGTTAGCACCTGTGGCTTTGTTCCTGACCCTCATCGGGTGCAAAGCCTTGAGAGAGAAGGCAGCAGGTGTCCTGGGGAAGTGCCACAGGCACCAGAATGTCACACTTAGAAACATTCGCCTGTTTCTGAGGAAGGTCTGCGACCTACCCACAATGTCATGACAAGTTTTTATCCGTGTTGTTAAACTGACATCTGTGGAAGTGATTGAAGCATTGGCAAAATCATTTCAAAATCATCATGTGCCATATGTAATTCTCCATGGGGCTTCTTCCTCCCTGGGGAGCCCTGCCAGATCCTATAGTATAACACAGGACAGGATATTCTGGCTGCATAGGCCTTATAGGCTTCTTGTTCCTACAGGGAAATAAATTCATTTAAAATACCTATATTTTTCTTACTCTGGCCCTTCAAAGTAGTGAAGTAATTATAGTTAATTTAAGCCTCTGTATTTGAAGTCGTCTATTAAGCTACTCTTTATTTGACACCAGGTACAAGGAACTTTTGTGATCTAGGCCTAGGCATTTCAGATATGTCCCTATTGCCAATGACGGATGACGAAAGTTGTGAAAGAGGTTCAGAAAAGACATAGCCCTAAGGTGCCACAGAGTGAAAATAAGTAAGACAGGGATCATAAGTCCTATCAATTACTTGACATAACAAAGAGTAAGAAATAATGGTGGAACTGGTCTTCGTTATTTAAAATACCTGCAGGGAAAGCACTAAAATAGTACTTATATATTCTTAAACTGTTATCTTTGTCCTCTAACACTGAGAATTTTCTTTTGGGTTAAATAAGATAAGGTAATTGCAACCTAAAAGTTGGAAAGTGTGCCCTGAATGAAGATGCTCTAGGGATATTTTGTATCACAAAAGCCATGCGAAACTGCAGACAGGACTTCCAGGTTGATATACTGGAGTCTGATGTATCCTTAACAAATCAATCAATACACCAATTCTAAAGCCTATAAACAAACTTAACAATAGACAAATGATTTTGAATTACTAAGTCATCAATATTAATTTTCATATTAGAACTAATCTGTATTGCAGTTTCTTTTTCATTGTACTGTTTCCCAAAGGAATCCTGCTCACGATAAAATCAGAGAGAAGACTTAGATTTGGCACACAACACAACACAACACAACACAGTGATCAAAACTAAACCATCTTGGATGTTATACTCAGTGGTCTGAAATTTAACAAACCACTAAGATGCCTGGCATTTAAACATTTTGTAGATGCATTTTTTTTTTTGGCTCAGTAATCAGCTCAGTACTCTATGGATTAATTTTAGTCCCTGCTTTTTGTAGACTGATGGAGTTAAACAAAATGAGTTGTGTCCCTCTCATGTTTCAAAGTAAAGTTCTAATATTTAAAAGTCCAACTTTTGTACTTTCATATTCTGCTTGTAATAAGACTGGAATGGATGGCTCTTCTGTCCTGTTAACATTCTTTTTTTTTTTTTTAAATTCACTGTACGTGGAAAACTAAGAAGCAAATATGAAAAAGTATCATAGATTCATTACCCAGGAGTGCCACCTTCCAGTTCCAGCCTTAGTTTCAAAGTGAAGCCCAGGGTATAATCAGGGCCCACTGCCTGCCTTCATCTCTTTAATATCCTCCAGGCACAGGACGCCAAGAAGCCAATTATAAAGATCAGATCATCTTTAATAATCCATTTCTCTATCAGAGTTCAAATTCATGTATCCATGTTTTAATTCAGTTTTTAATCCCATTTAGTTCATTTCTTTGTTTTCTTGTAACCAAACGTTTTCACGGCTTGTACAACAGCGACAGTGACAATAAAGCACTGCCCCATTTTTACTTTCCGAACTGAAACACTCAATTTCCCTACTGTGTCATTAAGTCTGTGTCATGAGCTTCCCCAGTAAATTATTAAGAATTTAGAATAAATCAGATGCTAAAATATTATGAATGCAGTATTTCTAATGTAGCTTTTTTCTTTTTTTTCCCTTACTCATTGCTTTTCGAAACAGATTTAAAGTGTAAGTATAAATATCTTGCATGTGATTTTATATAATATGAAAAGGAAAGCCCCAGATTCCCATGATGAAGTAGTCAACCTGCTCAGAACCGTGGATTGTCTGTCCGTCTTGTGTTTGCAGAAGGTGTACACTTGAGTTCAAGTTCCCGTGTGCTTTTGTACATATGGAATCAGGCTGGGTTTTCACATGGCCATACAAGGGAGGAAATGTGAAAAAGACACTTGGCTCTGACAGTTTCCATACTTTGAGGTTTGGGTTTTGAGGAAGGAACTAACAGTTGGGTGTCCAGCACATTCAGAAAGGGAGTTTCAGCTCCAGGCCAATTCCGTGCCTAACGAGAATCCAAAGGAAACAAAAGCCAGACGCATGTCTCTCCCAAAGGGGCATAGTAAATTAACATCAGACATTAATTTTGTCAAAGCATTTCATGTAAAAGCATTTAAAATGAAATAACCTTTCTTTAAATAGATGGAAGATGAATAATAAAAAAAAATATGCATCTTCAATGTGCCTCACCTGAGGAAAGAGACCCATTCCATGGCCCCCAATTATAAAGTCACATTTTTATAAATAGCTTGCCTCCTACCTTTCATATTCCTATTTCCCATAATATGCAAATATTTCTACTAAATTCCAGCCATGATTCCAGGGTAGATATTTTAAAGAGGAAGAAGGTACAGGAAAACGATACTTTGTGGGAATGCTACTGTAATCACATCGTTTTATAAGTCCTAGTATTTATGTTAACAAATTTCTTAAGTGGATTCTTCCGCCGAGAAGTCTATGATTTCTAAAATGGATTTCCAAAACATTCCTGCCTTCTCAAAGACGCCAAGCCGAGTGCACCAAGACTGCACGAATCCAGTCCGCGTTACCTGCGGCCAAGCCTGCTGCGCCTGCTCCAGCACCTGTAGCCGTGCCCCCGCCACCCCCACCGCCTCCCGGGGCACACCTGTATGAGGAGCTGGGAGACAGCACCATGTAAGTATCCAGGGCACCGTTCCGCCAGACAGGTGGGCCTGATGAATGCTGGGTGGTGAGTATTTCATTTCCGCCTAATGCGGAAATGCAGTTGACAGCTACTTTAATCACTAAATTACCAAAAAAAAAAAGAAAAAGAAAAAAAATTGTTAATGTGAGAACCTAAGAAAAGTTGAATTGAAAAGTCATAACCAAAACACCAGCAAACAAACAAAATCAGAACACTAAAAAAAAGAGAGTAAAAAAGAAAGAAGTACTCCATTGGAGGGAAGACATCTGTAGATGACTAGCTTGAATCATATAATCTCTAAAGCCTTCACAATTATGCAGACTTTATTTTTTCCATTCTGAATTATTTTTTCTCATAAGAAATAAAAAAATAAACCACAATCATAAAATAGCAATTCCTGATTTGGTACTCAAAGGCAACACTTATTTGGTAATTGAAAATCAATGGTACAGTCTAAAATCATAGACGTTTTACAGACACTATCTTGGGATGTCATAGGATAGAGTAATTAAAATCTGAATGAAAATCTGAAACACAAAGAATTAAATATTAAATATCCAACCCCTTAAAGAATATGCTTTTCATTATATTTCCCTCAAAAGAGACTGCTGTGATAGGTTAATATTCCTCTTGTGTTATTTGGAACCTCTAAGCAACATTAATTCATACACATTTGAAAGACTTTTAAATTATTGTGAAAAGACTTCACAGATGTTTCCAGTTTGATGCTAACCTGATTCCTTTCAGATTTATTTAACTTGCCTATGTTTTAAAATTTAAAGAGGAACTATTTCTGGACATGAAATACAAAACAACCAAGAATATTATAAAAAGTTGAATCAGACTAAATTAAATCCAAGATACCTTTTATTAACTAGAATTTGGCAGAGTTGAAGGACTAAAGAACACATTATTCTACTTTGTTACATTTGTAGCATTTACTAGTAGGAATAAAGCAAGCCTCAAAAATGAACAAATTTACCTTTTAATGGGAAACCAGTTTTAAACAGATGTATCAATATTTTTCCATATTACCACTATTTTTATGAATATATTTTTTGTCAAATTGACTTACATACAACACCCAGTGCTCATCCCAGCAAGTGCAAAGTGATGTTAAGAAGTTTTAAAAATGTTAAAACTGATTTTAATGTTGTATATTTGAATGCTAAAGTTGAATTTAATGCTTGACAGTTTAGTGTTTGACATTCTATTTCTAAAATAACAATATAATACAGGATTCATGCTTTGTATATAGTTTTTAATTTTTTTAATAAGCTGAAAATGATAGCTTCTTTTTGAATTACTGGTGAATGTAGGAATTGAGCGAATACGATTTGATTCTCTTTATATTAACCACCTTTCTCTAGCAAAAAATATTCAGAAACTAAGAACGACTTATATGTAAAGTTTGGTTTTATCTGAAATTACTGAGGGATATCTATTCATTTTTATTGAACAAAAGTAAACATACTATAACATCATCTGGAATCAATATGGTGTGGTGGTGATCACTTTCAAATAGCAACAGTTCAGGACTACTTTTATTTGAAAAATTGTGATAGACTGAGTAGAGAATTTTGCAATTATAATATGTATTTAATGAAAGATTCTGAGTTCTACACATTTAATGATCTTTAACATATGTTTAACCTATCTATTAAAACACTTTATACAGGGATTCTAACCTTAGGTTACAAAAAAATGGACTAGCCCCAGATGAATTATTATCAAATTTAAAAGTAAATATCAAAGGCCATTTTGAAAAAAATCTTAACGAACTAATTGATAACTTCAGACAGATTCAACAACCGCTCTGTAATAGTCATCATAGTACTCATATGTTTCCTTTCTTCTAAACCAGACCTCTATCTTCTCTATAAATCAGCGCGGACTGATTTTTCATTTAGGACATCGAAACGATTCTTAGAATTCCATTTAAAATTTCTGTTTGGGGGTTGAGATCAGCCATGCGTACTGAAGGTGAATTTTGCCTAGACACAGGAAATGGATAGCTAGCTACTTTCTGTAATGAGACCACTGAATAACTGTGATATGATTTTATCTAAAATATGATTACATAGCATTAGTATGAGTAAATATGCAGAAAATATAAAACATGTGTTTTCTTTTCTGGATATACATATGAAATGTTTAAAGCAAGTTCCTGTTAGTATTTTCATAATCACCTCCAATTAACTATAGTTCAAACTCTTTTTTTTTTTTTTTCTGTCGCATGTTTTCTCTTTCCCACCTGTGGATACATAGGCATAAGTAAGTAAATAATATCATTCTAATACAAGGCATTAGGATAAAAAGATACAATAGAATAGATTAAGTGCTGTTTTACTCTAAATATAGTGATCTCCATCTTTTATTCTGGAGTCATTGGCTTTTAAAAAGAAAGTCCTATCTTCCATATCTCATTCCCTTTTGGTATCTTGAAATGGCATGAGCTTAAAACAAGTGTTTCCACTAATAGTACCTGTGCCTATCAAGACAAAGTATGAAAATTCTTAAAATATTTAAATTCTAAGATATCAAAATATCTATAAAATATTTAAATCTATCTCTCAATCAAAAGTGACATGGTATCATTATGTAACATTCTTTCCGAGAAAAATTAAACCAAGCACAAATCTATAAAAAAAAAAAAAAAGGTGCCAAATAATACGTCAAGTCCAGTTTTTGAAAAAGAATGCAAGATCAGGAAAAGTGAGTGAGTGCTGTCTGTCCAATCCAAAATGTCTGTCCTTCCTGAATTATTCAAGTGGGCCTGATACCCCTAGTCCATGTGTAGTTTGTATCTCAGTGAAATGATTCAATAACAATTCTGGCTTTACATAGCTTTTTATTGCCTCACCTGTCATTCTCGCTTATAAGCGTGGCTACTTTTTATTCACAGTATTTCCTTTTACCTCATTCCTGCTGTGTGGGCTAAACATTAAATAATAACAAAAGTAAATGTTACTCTCTTTGAGCTTGAGAGCAAGACCCAATGAGAAACTTTCCGAAGCACCCAGCTGTGCTGGGGGCCACATACCGGTGCTTTCCTTAGTTACTCAATTGCATTTGTCACTTGCAGCCTGTCATTCAGTGTCAGTGTCTGAGCACATCTTCCAGCGATATCAAAACTATGTTATTTTAACATAAACATTTCCTTTAAAGTCCGTGTTGACCAAAGTTTGATGTAGATCATATTCAAACTAAAAACCACTGGCCCCTCTTCTTATGGTAATGTAGATAGCATTTTAAAACTGATGAAGCCTAAAATGGAAGCTGAAGAAAATAATCTCTGTCAAGGTCCTGGCATCAATTCAACTTCTCAATTGTGATTTTGAACCCTGTGAGGGAAATTGCTCCCACCTGTCCTTGGAGAATAGAAAATTTTTTTCTGTATTCTCTGGTCAGCTGTATGGCAGGGAAGAGAGTACTTTTAGCTCCAGGACAGAATTACTGAGATGAGAAATAATGGCACTGAATCAGATATAGTGAAGGACCCTTTCCCCAAAACCGTCAGCTCTGAGCTCTGAGCACCCTAAACCAAAGCAAAGGATGTGAAACCATTAGCCAAAATGCTGGTTTTCAGTTTGGAGAATTGTGATTTCTACATAAGAGAACTGTTATGGGGCACCTGGATGACTCAGTTGGTTAAGCATCTGACTCTTGATTTCAGTTCAGGTCCTGGTCTCACGGTTCGTGAGTTCCAGACCCACACTGGGCTCTGTGCTTACAGTGCAGAGCCTGCTTGAGATTCTCTCTCTCTCCCTCTCTCTCTCTGTCCCTCTCCCATTTGCTGTCTTTAAAAATAAATAAAATTACACTTTATTGAGAGAGAGAGAGAGAGAGAGGACAGTTATGTTTGGCTCTGGATACTCTGCTGTATCAAACTAACTGGGGAAAAAAATCAGTCTACAGATTGACACATTTAAAAAAAAAAAAAAAAAAAAACTTCTCATGCCACTCACAGCTCCCGGCTTTTCCTGCCTTGCCTTTTAGAGATCAGGGACACGAACGTAATGTCTTGCTTCCGTAGATGAGTGTTATTGGGACTTTTGTATCTTGAAGTAGTAATGAGAACCCTCTTTCTCAGGAAAAGCTATGTCACAACCTGTTTCCTTACATTTCATTATGTTCTTTTCTTTCAAGTCTTTTCCTTCTCTACCATTTCCAACAAAGCAGGGGAAATAAATCACTCTCAGAAGACAGGAAAAACCAACACATTGTGATGCCCTTTTCTTCCAGCACTATTGAGGCTCACACACAGGCTCATGTAGATGGATCGCTTAACAACAACCAGCCCAAGTCAGCAAGGACATTCCCCCTGGAAGCCGATGAGGATGCCTTAAGTGCACACAGTTCTCTTTATAAGGAAACTCTAGATCCAAGACCCACAAATGCAGACGTTTTGCTAAGAACAGATTTTATTGACTCATTTGTACCCAGAACACAAGGCAGGAGTAAGTCCCTAAGGGGCCCAAGGGAAATGTTTCAGAGGATGTGGAGTCAGCCGGTCGGCCTCCCTAAGAGACCAGTGTGGGAACTTCCCGAGAGACCTGAAACCATAGATCTGGACCAGTGGCAGAGAGACAGGCAGGAAGGTGGAAGGGAAAGCTCTAGAACCTTCCCAAACCAAAGACGTGGCAGGAACTGCCTGCTGAGAGCTGAGGACACGCACGCAGCGGAGAGAGAGGAAATGAGCCCAGGTGATGCGCTGACTGAAGTGGAACCCTTGGAATCTCAGACTTCCGACTCTTCCTGTTTCTCTCCTTCATCTCCCTCTTCCTTCTCCACTTTGCCAACCATTTCAAGAACTGTGGAGCTCCAGTCAGAACCTACCACCATCGTTTCTCCTGCTGACTGTTCCTTGGAACTTTCTCCTTCAACGCCTCGCATTTTGCATTCTCCAGTCTTTAGGAGAGAGGCACCCACGTATATGCTGACTATCAAAACCGAAAGGAACATTTTCGAAATCCTTCCCAAACCACCCAATATCTCTCCTCCTCCTCCTGTCCTTACTCCTGTTGCTCTTTCTGGTCCTCCTCCCCCCACGCCTCCTCCTCCACTTCTTCCACTGTCTGGCCCCCCTTCTCCTCCTTCTACTTCTCCTTCACTCCTTCTACCTTCACTTCCCTCCCTCCCTCCGCCTTGTCCCCCTCTTCCTTCTCCACCGTCTCCTCCACCTTCAGTTCCGCCCACCGGGTGTGTCTGTATACCAGCTGTTAAAGGCACAGTCGGTGTGACACCAGCCGGGGAAAGGAAGTCCTCTGGGACACAGCTACCAGCATCCGCAACAGGGTGCAATGTGGATCCTCAAAGGGAACCAAAAGGCATCCTCAAGCATATTAAAAACCTAGCAGACCTTGAAAAGTCAGTAGCTAACATGTACAGTCAAATAGGAAAAAACTTTCCACCAATGCACAACGCAAACCTTGAAACTAGTTGCCCTCCAGAGACAGAAAATGTGGAAATGACTTCGGAACCAAACCAGGGGAATTTGCACGGTATTGTCGAGGGAATTGAAAAGCAACCTCACAGCCAATCTACTTCTCTGTAATGTTGCTCTTCCTATTTTAAGTGGACGACTCTTTTGTGGACCGTAATCTTCATGTGGAAGCAAATGTGAACATTAAAGAAGATTCCATTCTTTTACCGTAAACTCAGTGCAATGCTGTGTTTTTTTCCTCATTTTTTTTTAATTTTAAAGATTATTAACCTCATCATTTCTAACTCATATTATAGATTTACCTTAATTTTCTTAACTACGAAGTAGCATTATTTGTCTACATGTATTTAAAAAGTAAGTAATTTCAATCTATTTTTCAGTGGGAATATGTGGGCAACAAAGTTAGATATCCAATCTAAACCAATGGTTTGTTAACATGTAAATGCAGTAATGTCTACATTTACTTCTTGACCATAGTTTTATTTGAGTGCTCCAGGAAAAAAAAAAAAAAAGTGAAAATAAGCTAAAAAATGATATCATAGGTTCTGATTTTTCCTTGAAGCCTATGTATTTGGTAAGGTTAAATACTACCAAAGTAAAAATGTATCTAGAAATATACGAGTTGACAGACATTATGGTATTCCAAAATAAATCCCAGGTGCTATAAGATATAGTCCTCTGTTTTCTTACATGAACAGTCTTCACTCTGGCTTGCTTTTATCTTACTAGTATGCTTACACATTTGAAAAATCTTTTATGTTTTCAGTTACTGTCCTATTCTACTTATTTCTCATTATGCTTTCTCTTCCCCTCATTATAATGAAAATAAATCTTGAATTGTTGGCTTTTATAAGACATTTCATTGTTCCCACAGATGTTTAAAGGGGCCTTCAATTTTGCTTGTCCGCATTATGTTATCATCTTGTAATTATAATTTTATCATAAGATTCTCTTTCAAAGAAAATATCTCTAGTTTAATAAAGAAATTCTAATCAGTTTCATCAAAATAAGGTTAAATAAATGTCTACAAAGATTTATCTAGTATGATTTAAGTTATTATTTGATGAAAATTATAAATATTGTTATTAAGTTTATCAATAATAGAAACCATTTATCTATCACAATTTTAGAAAGGCATTATTGGCTTCATTTCTAGTTGCCTTTAGTTACTTTAGATAAATCATCCAGATTTATTTGTATAAACAAAATATAAACATTTTAAGTAGAAATCAAGAAAGAATATGTCTGGTGAAGTGTCATCAGTCTTATACAGGCTTTTACTCTTTGTTTTAAGCAAAACAGAGAAAAATGTATCCTCGAAAAAAAGAACCACTATATTGTAGTTTTTCTCAGAACTCAACTCAGTAAATTCTTAAAGACATCGGCTCAGCTAAGTGTTATCCTCCTATCTTTTATTGAAAGCTACACTTGCCCAGCAAGTAATTATTCTGTTTTCCCATCTAATCCGTGGAATAAATTGTATTTACTGGAAATCCCCACTTTGAATACAAGTATAATTATTTGATTTACTCTGCAGTTTTAATATTGTAGAAAATAAAAGTTTGCACAGGAAAAAAAAAAAATCTAGGCCCAAATCTTGCCTGGTGATCTCCATTGGAGGTCTCTAATATAGGCATGTACAATCCATCATTTCAGAGCTTTTGTTCAGTTCTTATATTAGGTGACATTTCTTCAAGAATTTGGTCTGTCATCCCTAATTAATAGTATCAGATTTTTTAAAAATCCATAAAACTAATTATTTTCATTAGCTCCTTTGCTTCAGATTCTTTTCATCCAAATCAAGAGTAATTTCCTTCTTGGGGTTTTTAAACCTGATTTTTTCTGTCTTTCACTGAAATATTTCAGTTGGAATTTTTGTTGGCAGCTGGTCATTTGCATGAGAAGTTGTGCTATTTGGCGGACTCTGAAAAGGTATTATTCATAACTGTATAAGACTTTAATTTGTGTGTCTTATTTAAGCTATTTTTGTATCAACAAATTCTTGGATATGGGAAAGATATTTTTAATATGTTCTCTAAATAACTACGAAGAAATATTATGAAAACTCCAAATAATTTTACGTAGGTATCATAGCCTCACTGAGTTGTTACATTGTCCTTTTCTGTCTCATTTATATAGTATTTGTTTAGTCTAAACATTTTATTAGCATCTTACACTTTTCAAATGAAACATCCATTCCCACATTTTTATATTTAATGTAGTTTTTTACTCACAGGTTCTATTTAGAGATCTCTGGCTTAATTGTAAAAGTCCGTTCGAATGCCTTCTGCATGAGACCTATAAATATTTTTTGAGTTCAGAGCCCAAAATATTATTCCTTTCTCAATCCTTAAGCCTCCACAACCTGAGAACCAACCTCCAGAATCATAATACCTTAGTTTTCCTCTGCATTTGTTATGTTCCAGTTGGTGTGTAAGAAACTATTAGATACCTTTTCAAAAGACATAAGTTACTGTATGTTTTCCTTATTTTTAAAAGTTAACTGTAATGCACATAAATGGTATAAAATGATAACACACATGGAATACCATCTAAATGCATCAAATTATGTGCCTCATAAGAGTCAACAGAAAGTTGCATTAATTGAAAGCATGCAATTATATGTATTGATTCTGTTGTGTACCTTTTCCAAGTCATTTTCTGCCTTTGAGCTGAGACAAACAATCCAAATAACTACATGAAAGGCAACAAAAAGATTAATGGAAACAGTATAGTTCATCTATTGACATCTTATTCTCTTCATGTAGGGAAAATACCACTACGGAAAAAAAGGCAGCTTAAATATCCTAAAGAATAAAGTCCAGCTTTCGTTGGACATTTTATATCATGTATGTGACTCAATTCTCATTACTAAAATCCAAGTATGAGCTTTCTCTGTCTCTGAAAGATATAAAGCTAGTAAACTTCTAGATGCTTTCGAAGGGTTATAATTCACATAACTATTAGCAGAACCATAGAACCAGAAGTCACAGAAGGACCATTTCAGAAAATAAATTGTGACAGGACTAAGTAAGCATCATAGTACTATTATTTCCGACCATCTCAGTCGGCGATGCCTTACCCACTTGATATTTGTTCAGATAAGTAGACTTCTTGTGTAAAGGCCTTGTAATATTTTAAAGAAATTTTCTATAGATTGCTTTGTTGGACTGTAAAGTTAACGTGACTGCCTCTTGATAGCAGTTATAGTTTTGTATATCAGTCCCTAGCACCATACTCTACATATAACACTTTAGATCAACTGTTTAGGAAAGGCTAAATAAGAACTCTTCATAATTAAAGACATCCAACACTGAAAGTATTCTATATTTTGTCCCCCTCTCAAATACAGTCAAACCTTTCCCCAACTTGTGCTCCATGAACTTTACAAATCCTTACATGATACTGAATGTTTGGCTATTATACCTCTGATAGTATTCAACTGTTTTATTATGTCTGATAATGCCATTGACCCTTAAAGACCAGTCAGTATTTTTCATTCATTATTTTTAGAATAAACTGATGCAAACAGACACACACACACACACACACACACACACACAAAAGCCTTACAAATGTTCAGGAGAATGTATTCTAGACATTGAGGTAATTTTTTTTTTATCCTGTACCAATATGTTTTTCTTGTATAAAACACCAGTTTCCCCAAATGAGTACCTTATATGTATCAAATCTTGTCTAGGATAGAGATGATATAGCATACTTTTAATCCACTTGACAATAACAGAGTCAAAGTGTGTTATTCTACACTGCTGGGATAGAATAGACTGTGTATGATTGGGTGTCATATGACATGTGGGTCTTGGCCGATCATGGTTTTGGTAATGCAGACAGGAAACTTCCATCCTCCTGCCCTGAAACTGCCAGAAAATGTATTTCTCACTGAGACAATTTTCAGTAAACATTACCTTCTCAGTATACTTTACATTTTTAAAAAACACTCTTATCTATAACTTTACTTAATCTGAAACTCTAAGTTGTTTAATTCTGATTTCTTTGTTTCTGCCTTGCAGGAGAGGGTATGCATCAGAGGTAAGGGCTTTATGGTATTCTGTCAAGCCTCCTAGCAAAATATTTGTGTTATAGGTAGGCTGAGTTTACATTATTTCATAGCTAGGGTATTTTCCTTTATTTCAACAAAACTTATAAATATGCTATGCTATTTATGCTCTTTTATGCCTGTTACCATTTTGTTTGGGGGTTTTAAGTGGGTGAACAAACCTCAAATGCTCACCTTTTCAAGGATAAATTTATTTTTTCCTGAATTGATGTTATTTGATGTTGTGACATTCCACCAAATTTCTTTCTTTAAGGCCATAAACCTAATGTTAGCCTCCTTAGCTTTTGGCCTTTTTGCCAGTCCAAAGCTCCTTCCCAATACATTAGAGCTTAAGATCTTAAACAGTTGTGAAAAGTCAGACTATTAGAAAGCTCTGGCTTTTTGATCATGTTCATTTGACTCTCAGTCAGCAGAGAAGATAGTGGTCATTCTGGCCAGCGGTAGCTGGCTAGCCACTCCGAGAGTGGTGTTGCCAATGAGGTCACTGAGAGCCCACCAGAGTTTAGCAGACAGCTTCCCAGTCAAGACAGTGAAATGAGCACACAACCTAATTGGTCGGTCGTTTGGGAATGCACAAGTCCTTATGTGTTTGGAGATCAAGGTGGATGCATTTAAGAATAACTGGGTTTGTGGACCATGCTAATAGCTAACAGACTGGATTAGAATATCTCTAATTCCAACTTCCTGCTTCCTTAAATGAATGCCTTAACTAGACAAAGCTCGCTCACAGCCATGCTGTGGAAACTGTAGCCCTTCAGTCACATAGCTGTGCCATTGGTCCTTTCAAATGTCTGGTTCACTGCTGGGACTTCTCCCGGAATTCCTCTGCCCACGTTCCCGGTGCTTACTCTTGTGTAGCTATCCCCCACTCCTCAAAGAGTAGAGAAGCCGCCATTTGAACAGTGTATCTTGTTCCCATCTGGTTGGAGTATAAATTATACAGAGACCTTGTTTCCTTTTAGTAAGTATGGGTGAGATTGGGAGGCAGTAAGTGATCCCCACAAAGTCCAAGGAAGGACGATTTCCCTAATCACAAAGGATCTTCGAAAGCGTGCCTAATGCCTGACTGTAAGCAACCCATGTTTTGGTAAACAGAAAAATGGGGAGCATTTCTTAAATATGATGATGAGTATATTACAACTGTGTCATGATTTTGTGCGCTCTCCTCTTCTTACTGGTGAACTTGATTGCATTTAATGTGGGGAGAAAAAAAGAGGGGCAATTTAAAACAAGGTTAGACTTGCTCAAAAGGATTGTGTGGCACTTAAAGTGCTTTTAGAATCATAAGTAACTCTTTATATTAAGTTTGAACCAAAAAGTTATATATAGGTTTTTAATCATTAAGACTATTAACTTTGATGTTAATCAAAACAATGATGATATTTTTTAAAAAATCATTATTTTATGTTCTAACATAAATAGTCAAAATACTGCTTGGTATCACATGAATGATAAATCATAATCCCAAGGTAACCAGTTTTAAGCTGTGGCCCTTTTTTTCCCTCTCTTTTTAATCATGATCTTCCTTTTCCACGTGAATTACTTTCTAAACCTTTTTCTATTTTAATTTCCTTTGGCAGCAACAGCAACTGCTGAGGCCTTCTCTTCTTAAACCAGAGGTATCAATTTTCTTTTCTTTACAACCTCGCTGAGCCTTCAGAATTAAGCCCCTGTTACATGTAGGCAGACTGGGTGACTCCCAACACTATTTTACAAGACAGAAAAGAGGTGGTTTAACATTGAAACAAATAAATAAGTAAGTACACAAATCACTTCTCTCCTGGCTGCTGGGGGCTGAAATTCCAAACCTTTAGCTTCATTCTCTAGGAGTTAGACAGAGAAGCCCTTTGCTCCTGTTGAAAACAAACTCTCATTGAAGGAGACAGATCATGAACCTGATTGATCATTCTCTTGTCTCCGAGAATCGAGATAAATCAGAACTGTTCCTGAGATGGGGTCAGGACTAGGCAGGGTTTGAGGAAAGAGCTCTGGCCTCTGTACTGAAATAAGAAAGGTAGAGATTGGGTTGTGATTGACAGTCTTTAATCCTTTCACGGAATTCAAATAAACTGCCTTTGGGCACATGTCTATTTCAAAATGCCTAGGACATTTTTGCAGCCATGAGAAAAAAAGATAATCAGAATTATACAATAAATGCATATAATTTGTATCTATTTGTATACAGTAGCTAAATTTTAAAAAAATAATGTTAATTTTCAATGTCTATTTCTTTTGGCATATTTAGATGCCAAAGTGGTATCTAAGTGGGTAAGTAGTTAGAACTGACTCTCCAGAATTTGGAGGTTGAGTGGCAGGAATATTTCAACTTTTGTAAAGTTTTAGCAAACATTTCCATAGACTATTGAATCAGATAACTCAGACTTAAGATTCAAATGGCAGTTACTGGATACAAAAGCATAGTCAAGATGTGCACCCTCGGTTTTATGTTCTCTAAAATCTTGGCAGTAATATTGAATATACAAGCTCCTACCTCAGGTAGGAAGAAACTCAGAAAATGGTAGTAATACTGTTGCTTTTGCTTGCCTTGGTATACATGTTTACACTTTGTCAGTAATTTACTAAATTAATCCTGTCTTGTCTGTGTGGTAAGAAAAAAATGTGGGGCAATGGGGACTGCATGGAACAGCAGAGAGGGTTGATATTTCCTGTCTGTTCTGGCCCGTTAGGGAGCCTAATGGCTGCCATGTCCTTCTTCCTTGTATGTATGTGTGTGTGTATGTATGTATCTACCTACCTACCTATTATCTACCTATAATCACTCTTTCTATCATCTATCTATCTATAATCTATTTATCTATCTATCATCTATCAATCATCTATCTCTGCATAGTTGATGCTCTGCTCTTCAATAATTGATGGTATAGGAATCCAAGAGGGACCCTTCAGATTATTCCCTTCTACCAACTTCTGTCTTTTTCCACCCAGCTCAGACTAGAGTGACTGACTCTAGGATTAAGTTTCCTGGATTCCTTTCCAATTGCTTCTATCCTTCTATAATATTTTTTAAGTTGTCTGATGACAGATATATGTCATATTCTCCCTCTAGGAGAATAAAAGTGCGTGTGTGTGTGTGTGTCTGTAAGGAAATTATTTGATTCTACCTTAAAATCTGAAATCCACTCAGTTGCATTATGTTTCCATAAATATTTGTTTTTCCTTATTGCCAAAAGTTACTGAAATTCAAAATCACTTTTGTTTTTAATTGTTGTAAGGACACATAATTTCTGATCTTCCCTCTTAAAAAATTTTTACATGTGCAATACAGTGTGGTTGACTATAATAACACAGTGTTGCACAGAATATCTTTAGAACTTTTCCATCCTGCTTCATTGAAACTCTATGCCAGTTGAAAGCAGTCCCACATTTCTCCCTCTCCCCACCCATGGCAAGAGCATTCTAGATTGATGATTTTAGATACCTTGTACAATGGTATCATGCGGTATTTATCCTTCTGTGATTGGCTTATTTAACCTAGCATAACATTCGCAAGGTTCATTTGTGGTGTTGCATATGGCAGCAACTGCTTCTTTTTTTAAAATTTTTTAACGTTTATTTTTTGAGAGAAAGACAGAGCATGAGTAGGGGAGAGGCAGGGAGAGAGAGAGGGACACACAGAATATGAAGCAGGTTCCAGGCTCTGAACTGACAGCACAGAGCACGGACCATGGGATCATGACCTGAGCCAATGTTGAATGCTTAACTGACTGAACCACCCAGGCATCTCTTACCCCCTTCTTTTTTAAGGGTGAAAGATATTCCACTGTATTTATGTACTGCATTGAACATTTAGCTTTCAACTTCAAAATCTTTTGGTGGTCTTTTCTCAGTCTCCATATATATTACACTAAACATGCCTTCGCCAAGGCTTTTAAAAGCATAAGTACTGAAATCAGTTTGCTTCATTTAAACCAATATAATTGTGTTGGGTTTTAGATGCCTGAAAAGTCTAAGCTTACCAATATGAAAAATATAGGTAGAGATATAGATTTATATTTAAAGTATTAAGTTTGAATAACTTAAATTTAGAGCTTAAGTTTGTCCCAGTTCTTATTAACCTCATTTCCCAACCCCATTTTCTATAATTAGCACTTTTTGTTGAAATGTAACTACAGACATAAAAGTATACAAGTGAAAATGAACAGCTAGAAAAATCTTTATAAAGTGCACACCCCCTACAAACTTTCTATAATCTTGTCCATGTTAACACCCAGATACTATTTCTCCTTTCCCCCAATGACTCAGTTGGCTTCTTTGTTTTTTCCTAAGTTAAGTATGTTAGGTCAAAAATATATCTGATAGATAGATATAGATAGATAGACATAGATTATATATAATTTATATATGTATATAGATACAGATATATAGAATATCTATAATTTATATATATAAATATATATACATATAAATTTCAGCTTTAAGTATATTTTTAAAAATCCTAAGTAATTTATTTATTTTTATAGTTTATTGTCAAGATGGTTTCCATATAACACCCAGTGCTCATGGTTTCCTGTCCACATTCAGGTCCTTCATCCATTCTGAGTTTATTTTTGTGTATGGTGTAAGAAAGGGTCTCGTTTCATTCTTCTGCATGTTGCTGTCCAGTTCTCCCAGCACGTTCTGTTAAAGAGGCTGTCTTTTTTCCACTGGATACTCCTTCCTGCTTTGTCAAAGATTAGTCAGCCATGCATTTGTGGGTCAAATTTTGGGTTCTCTGTTCTATTCCATGGGTGTGTCTGTTTCTGTGCCAAGACCATACTGTCCTGATGATGACAGCTTTGTAGTAGAGGCTAAAGTCTGGGATTGTGATGCCTCCTGTTTTGGTTTTCTTCCTCAATAGTACTTTGGCTCCTTGGGGTCTTTTGTGGTTCCATACAAATTTTAGGATAGTTTGTTCTGGCTTTGAGAAGAATGCTGGTGCAATTTTGATTGGGATTGCATTGAATGTGTAGATTGCTTTGGGTAGCGTTGACATTTTAACAACATTTATGTCTCCGATCCATGAGCATGGAATGTTTTTCCACTTCTTTGTATCTTCAATTTCCTTTATAAGTTTTCTATAGTTTTCATCATACAGATCTTTTACATCTTTGGTTAGGTTTATTCCTAGGTATTTGATGGGTTTTTTTGTGCAATTGTGAATGGGATCATTTTCTTGATTTCTTTTACTGTTGCTTCATTATTGGTGTATAAACATGCAACTGATTTCTGTATGTTGATTTTGTACCCTGCGACTTTGCTGAATTCGTGCATCATTTCTAGTAGGCTTCTGGTGGAGTCTGTTGGGTTTTCTATGTAGAGTATCATGTCATCTGCGAAAAGTGAGAGTTTGACTTCATCTTTGAAAAAAATATATCTAATATATATCTATATATCATATATCTATATAGATCATGTATAATTTATATATATACACACATATATATAAATTTCAGCTTTAAGTATATTTTACAGAATTCTAAGTAAGTTAAAGTATACATTGTTGCGTGTTGCCAGTTGGTGAGAACCATTATCTTTTTTACCAAATTTCAATTATATAGTTATCCCCTGAGGTCACCATGCTATACATTCAATCCCCAGACTGTTCTCATCTTATAGTGAAAATTTATACCCTTTTACCAACTTTTCCCCTCCCCCCCACCCCCTGATAACCTCTTCGCTAATCTCCTTTTCTAGGAGTGTGCCTTTTTATTTATCTTTATGTATTTTTGTGCCCCACATATGACTGATACCATCCAGTGTTTGCCTTCCTGTGTCTGGCTTGCTTTACTTAATGTAGCACTCGCGGATTCTACCCGTGATGTCACAAACGGCAGGATTTTCTTCTAACTGTAGACTTGGAGAGCACAGCGGCAGTATGGTAGCCAGTGAGGCTCAGACAAGGTACTCATATCACTGCTTAAAAATTTTTCATGTGGCTTCTAACTCACATATCCATTTGTCTGTTTTAAAGCTTATATAAAGAGGACTATATAGAATCATGTGTTTCATTTGTACCTGACTGCTTTTGTTCATCATTCTGTTTGGGAGATTCATCTCTGTTCCTGTGTGAGGTAGGAGTGAGTATCTCATTGACTTTTGCTTTGGTTCTAGTTTTCGGCTTTTACAAATGGATTTTGGCGCACACTTATGTTCAGCATATAAACTGAACTATTTTGAATTTTTGTCCAAGGCTATGCATATATTTGGCATTACTATTACTGCCAAACATTTTCCAAAGGATTTGTGCATTTAGAATCTCTCCAGAAGTGTAGGAGACTTCCCGTTGCCCCATGTCACTGCCAAAACATGGTGCTGCTGCTCTTTGGGTTAGCTTGTTTTAGCCATTCTGGTGGGCAAACTGAAGCATGTTTCTTTTTTTAAAGTTCTTTTTATTTATTTTGATAGAGAGCAAGTGGGGAAAGGGCAGAGAGAGAGGAAAAGAGAATCCCAAGTAGGCCTCTCACTATCAGCACAGAGCCCAACTGAGGGCTCGCTCTCATGAACCATGAGAACATGACCTGAGCTGAAATCAAGTGTCAGTTACTTAACTGACTGAGCCACCCAGGCACCCCATAGAATTAGCAAGAGATTTTAAAATGTAAACATCCCTGAGTGGTCTCACATATTAATGTTCTGTTTAATTAATGTATAAATGATCATCGTCAGATCCTTTGATAAAAATAAGTGTAATGAATACAAGTGCTCCAGGTGCTATGAAGCTGTTAACTTTCTATGGTCAAGGTCAAGGTCTAATGGTCAAGGCTAAAGTCTGTTAATAATACAAGTTAAAATAGAGTGAAAAGTTTCCACTGGCAGTTTGTAAAGTTACCCGAGAACAAATGATATGCTCATCTGTAATCTTTAATAGATTCCCCATTAGAAGAAATGTCCCTTTTTTGTACTCCCTCCATCCTAACAACATCACTTTATTACACGTCAAATAGTTGGAGTCGGAAAAAAAGTTTTGAATATGTTTAACATTTGTAATTGAAGTTTTTTGGCAGGAGTGCTCTCAGAGTCTTGGGATTCTAGGTCTGGAAATCTAAATTCATTTGATCTGAAATGTGGTAAGAATTTATTTTCAACTGCAATTTCTCTTTTTGAACAATAGGAGTTATCCATGGAGTCTGGAATTGATCCTGGCCAGGAATTTGGACAAGATTATTACAGTTATGAACATGGGTACATCTTCAGTTTTTTTAATCCAGTATCAATCTTTTTTATGAATAATGAGCTATTAAATATTACTAGCATTTGTGTTGCAAATGTGATTTCATCTGTTTGTTTCATCCTTGAAATTGAATTATGTGTCTACTTTTAATTCCAATCAGGTTTTATCTATTTTTTCTTTGCATACTCAGTTCTGGTTTGGTGTTCTATGCTGGTATTGACCACAGCTCTAATGTGGCAGTAAAATGATTCAAACTTATTTAAATGAGAAATAGGAGTCAAACATATTTGCTCAATTCCTGAATTCACCCTTTATTTTATAGGGTACGTTTAACATTTTATCTACCTAGTCAGCCTCAAGACTTGCCAAGGAGAAATTAGGAAGAAAACATACTTTAGAACCCAGTGATAAGCAGTTCGAGCCGCCCTACACACACATTAACTGCTGTTGCAAAAACAGAGGGAGAATGCAAACACCATCCCAGATCATGTCTGAAGCAGGATTTCGCTGTAATGATAGAAACATTATGTTGTGAACAAGCTATTAGTTTTACAAAGAACCTTCTAAATTCTTCAGCTCATTAAGGAACGATCTGCTGTTCTCTTCATGCTAGCCTCTCCCCAAACTTGAATCTGAAATAACCTGACTCTTTTTGCTGTTATTGCAGGGTACCATCATGGCAAAAACCATTGGCCACCAGGTTGTAGTTCTTAGCCTATGGTTTTGTAACTAGTTGGTTGACAAGGAGTGTGATAGGTGCTATAAGAGAGGTCTGTTGAGTAAGTGATGAAGACAAAAAAGAAATTAGTCAAGGTTACATGAACCACACAGAAGCGTGTTGAAAGTTTTAAGTTTCTGTTACAGGTATGAGATGCCTCAATATGGAAGCCGTCGCCGTCTGTTACCGCCCACTGGACCAGAGGAGTACGGTGAGGTGGTTGGTGAAGCAGAGGAGGAATATGAGGAAGAAGAGGTAAGATGATGTTTATCTCTATTGGAATAGTAGGCTACAACATACTTCAAAAGTCAGAACTCCTTTTCACTTAGTACATGTTTTCCATAGAAATTGTATAATGCTCACCACTTCACCATTTTGTTTATAGAAGGAAATTAACAGTTGTGTATATTTATTTCCTTCTATAAAATGTTAAATGCCTGGAAGAAAGCCACAGTGAAGTTCATATTTTCTAAAATCCTAAAAATGACTCCACAAAGATAACATTATAATCAAGTACATGAAGTCTTTTGCCAAACACTGGTCACTTTGGTTCCCGCGTTGTCTAGCGTATCTAAAAATCATGAACACAGTATAGTTGTCAAACAGAAGGAAAATATCGCCACCAGTATTTTTAATGGAATTCTGTCACTTAGATTTTAATTAACAGGAGTCATTTATATACTTGTCAAAAATATTTACTGGGAACATTTATCAAAAATCAAAATGAAAACAAATGTGACTGTAGTTTACCCTGTTCAAAATTAATAGACACATTTCACATAAACCTCTCAGGTAAAGTGTCATAATTTCCCAATTATTTAGAATTTGTTTAAGGAAACACAAAGTGTTTCATCAACATATAGGGATGGGAGACAGAAGAGATGATGATTACTTCTTTCTCTTTTGATCTAAGACGCAAAGTAAACTCAGTAAGATAAAGAAATGCGAAAGCATTAGGTTTTGGCGTTGCGAAGTACAAGCCAAAATAAAATACGTTTTCGTGGTCACACTGCCTGGATGCAGCAGAGAACCGTGCACTCGGTCTCCACGACTAGTTACAGAACCTGCAGATTCATCCCTGCCTAACTTGTGCGGGACAGCGTCACCTGGTAAGCAGCCCCCAGCTCATACTTCAATTGCGTTTTCGTGATTTTCAGGAAGAGGCCAAGAAAATTAAAAAACCTAAAGTTGAAGTTAGAGAGCCTAGTGAGGAGGAGGAAGTCGTGGTCACCATCGAGAAGCCGCCGGCCGAGCCCCCCTACACGACGTGGAAGAAGGCCAGGATATTCCCAATGATCTTCAAGAAGGTGAGAGGCCTGGCTGAGAGGAGGGGCGCCGCGGACCTCGAGGGCGAGGAGTGGCGGAGGCGCCTGGAGGAAGCGGACAAGGACTATCTGAAACTCACCCTGGACCAAGACGAAGCCACGGAGAGCACGGTGGAGTCCGAGGAGGAATCCTCCAGCGACTACACGGAGTACAGCGAGGAGGAATCCGAGTTCAGCGAGTCGGAGACCACGGAAGAGGAGTCCGAGTCCGAGACGCCCTCGGAGGAGGAGGGGGAGGAGGAGGAGAGCTCTACTCCCGAATCCGAAGAGTCAGAGTCCACGGAGTCGGAAGGGGAGAAGGCCAGGAAAAACATCTTTCTGGCCAGACGGCGGCCAGTTGTTGAAGAGGTCAAGGAGGTCAAGGGGAGAAAAGAGCGGCCTCCCGAAGAGCCTGCGGAGGAGCCCAGGGAGGAGGAGGAGGAAGGGGCGGCGGCAGGCGAGGGGAGTGAGCTGGCCTCCTCGGAGGGGCCCGCAGAGGCTGCGGTCACCGAGGAGGGCGGCGCAGAGGCCCCATCGGGGGAGGAGGGCTCGGCCAGCGGGGAGGAGTCGGAGCCAGGCAGGAGCGGCAGCAGCAGCAGCAGCAGCAGCGAGAGCCTGTCCGGGGGCCCCTGGGGCTTCCAGGTGCCGGCGCAGGACAGCAGAAGGGACACGCGCCGCGACAAGCGTCCGGGAGGCCCCGAGGGCTACGACACGGCCCTCTGAGGGCAGGGACAGGTGGGAGCGTGCGGTGCCCCTTGCCCTGTGTGCTGTGCCTTCTGTGTGCTGTCCCTCAGGGAGGACGGGGGCCTCCCCTCTGTGTGACCTGAGGCTGCAAGCACGCCCGCGAAGTGCGGCACCTGTCGTCCACGCGCACGTGTGTGGGAGGGCACACGACTCCGCTTTCCTCCGCGCGGCGGACGACAAGTGACTCATCGGTGTTTACCGCTTCCCAGTGGGGCCCCTGTTCATGCTATGGCTCACGTCTCTCCAGCGATGCCGGCCGGCGGCGTGGCTTCTGCGAATCCATACCGGGTTCTGGACGCAACCCGCAGCAGTGGCGTCTCTCGAAGTCCGCTTCTGCCTATGTGTACAGTTACACGGGCAAAACCTATTCTGAAAAACAGCACAGGGGCGCCACTTAATTTCCGACTCTTGATTTCAGCTCAGGTCATGATCTCAGGGTTCTTGGGACGGAGCCCCATATCAGGGTCTGTGCTGCCAGCGCAGAGCCTGCTTGGGATTCTCTCTCTGCTCCCCCCCCCCCCTCCCTTGCATGTGCTTTCCCTCCCTCTCTCTTAAATCAAATAAATAAACTTAAAAAGAATCTCAAACATGTTCATACAGGTTTGTAGCTGACACTTTGAAATACTAGAAGCTAAATGAAATAAGTGTTAAAAATGAAGTTTATACCATTTCTTTTCTTTTTCCACTGTGGGTAGGGGTCACCAAAGATTTAGGAAAAAAAATGAGTTGACTTGAATTTTTATAAAACATTCTTCTGGAAATCAGAAAAGCTTAATTACTGTGACACGTAGGTAGTTCACATATAAGGAGAAGGTGAAACCATTTTGAGAATAAACTAGCATTGGTTAACCTTCACTCCTTGTCGTGTCTGACTTGGATTGGTAAAAGAACAACTTGTAGAAATGTCCACTGTGTTTCAGTTGCTTCCTAGAGGAAAGTTTACAACACTTCATTTACGGTTTTGTGTATTATTGGATACATTATTCAGGATGGGAAGATATTTTCTTTCTAGTTAACTTATATTTAAATAAAATATACATAACATATACTAAATGCAAGATATTTAAATATATTTAAATGAAGTATACAGAACACTAGGATACTTCAAGAATACAAAATGTTTGGCTAATAAATAGTGGAGGGCTTAATTAGGAATTAGAATAATGTGGGCTTAAAAAATCTTTAAAATTTGGGGAAACGAAGTATTAGTATGAACAGGATCTACTGATGCTATGCATACCTTCTGATTTGACCTCCCGAAGAGCGCAGCCACTGTCCAACGATGGATGAGATCCTCACTGCAATATAAACAATAGGCTCGTTTTTCACATAGAACAGCAACTCGATCTACAAGAACCCAAGTGGCCTGCAGTGTCTGCTCCTTGAGGGAGCCACACTTCATCCTGAGAAGGGACGCCCAGCGGGCTGGGCCGCGAAAGGACAGTGGCTTCTCTCTCCCTCTCTCAGTTCTTTACCTCCGACAGCTTTCCCTTAAAGGTGTTGAATTTCACAGGCCTTGTGCCCTCTGCCCCTCCCTCCGATACCCGTGACCTTGACTTTTCTTGTCTTTTCTCCCGGCAGTGGGCGAGGAGACGGATGATCAAGCTGGTCGTGGACCGCGAGTGCGAGGCCAGCTCCACCGGAGAAGACAGCGCCCCCGAGTGTCAGAGGAAGCGGGCGCACCCTCGCGGCCCGCACAGCAACGTCAACGGCAACATCTACGTTGCACAGAACGGCTCCGTGGTGCGAACCCGCCGGGCCTGCCTCGCTGATACCTTAAAAGCCGCTTCCCCTGTGCGCCTGGGGAGGCACTTTAAGAAACTCGACAAGCTGGCAGTGACACAGGAGGAGAATGTCCCCCTGAACACGTTGTCCAAGGGGCCCTTTTCCACGGAGAAGAGGAACACAAGGCCCACCCTGGTCACGTTCGCCCCTTGCCCCGTGGGGACCGACGGCTCTGCAGGGCGGCCGCTGGGCCCCAGGCTGAAAAGCACAGCTGAACAGGACCCTCTGGAAGTCCACAGCGACCACACGCACTCCGACGACGAGGAGCTCTGGATGGGCCCGTGGAATAACTTGCATATACCAATGACAAAACTGTGACCGGAGTTTTGTAAGGAGTTATTTTCATTTTTACTTCAGTTTTTAATAAACTGCGCTTTTTATGGTCACTGAGAAAACGACGTATGGGATTTATATCATGCACACAAGCGAAAACTTTGGACAATATGCTTTAAACTTTAAAAAGAGACAAATTTGCACTCACATTTGTATCGATTACTTGTTCTTCCCGGAAAATCTTTTTGGACTCTCAATTCACTAAATAACATCTCATAAATTACACCTCATTTCAACGTACCATTTAGCCGTTTTGCTGGGTCTTGGTTTTTTTCTTCATTTTAATAAATAATTTACTAAGTAATCACTTATATTTTGTTGATTAACACAGACGACTTCATGTCCAGCTTCACAGAACTTTCTTCAGTACATGGGAAAAAATGGGAAAAAAATTTATATTAGAGGGTTTTACAGGTAATGGGTTTATACAGCTGCTGTCTACACCATACTGATTTTTTAAAAGAGTAATAGAATTACAAAGTGATAGCAAATGTGGGAATCTTCTGTAAATTAGGAATCATGAGCCTGTTTTCCTTCTTGTCCAATATAAAGTTTTTCAGAATTTTGCCCATGTATCTGTTGACCTTTTAAGGAACACTCGATGCCCTCTTTTAGAAACTATCATTTGCAGTATTCCCTGGTGTTTCCCCTCAACCCCACCCCCTTTGCACACACACTTTACAAACAAACACTGTATCCACACCATAGTATAACTGAGTTTTGCCATCTGAAGTGAAATACTTATTTGGAGTAGCACAGAAATCTAACCCTCAGCAAAAGCTTACTGAGGTGAGAGAGGATCAAATAGGCAATAGTACATCTGGAACCTCAATTTCAATATGGAAGACAATAAAATCAGAGAAGTCTCATGTTCATGCCATTGGACACGAATGTTTTAGAAACTCAGTATAAAGGACTTTGGCAGGGTCAAGAATTCATCTAATATGTCCAATGCCTAGGAAAGGTTATACACCCTTAGCCTCAAGTATATTATGGTATTTCACTTCTGAGCTCCAGTTTATTTATAGAATATTCTAATGATGGTAATATTTAGATACATAAAGTGCAGAACCAGATGATGATTACCTGGACATTTTTCTTCTTTATCGAAGAACACAGTCATGATTTTTCACCACTAAACAAAGCACAGTGTTTCACCATCCACAGAAATGAAAACCAAGTTTCCTTTCAAAAAAAGGAAAAAATCCCAGATACTTGCCTTGTGTGTTGCATAGTCTCCAGATGTTAAAAGGATGACACTATAAAGAGACTTCAGAATCTTACTGAATAGGACTTCATATGGTATAGCTAGAGTTCACCTCAAATCTCGTGCAGTACTGACCCAGTTCAGATTTCCATACATTTCTCTCATGCATGCTTATTATATGGTGGAAAGAGACAGAATAATGCACTCTTATTTTCTCTCTCACGTTTCATAGTTTAAAAATAGCTGATTATAATGCTGTTTCCTCATTTCCAAAGTGAAATGAATTGTATGTAACATAAATTTGCCAACTTATATAAGTAGTAGGTTTTAATTTCAGGTTTCAAAAAGTACTTGAGATCAATTGCAGGAACATCTCATTTCTCTGACATTATTGGAAATCGATGCCTTCTTTCCCCTTGCCAGAAAAACTACCAGCATAATTGGAAAGGAATAGGACATTCTAACATTCACTTCTTAGAAATCTAGAATCGTCCTCATACCCCTAGGTCTACTAACACACATCCACATTCTCTCAAGATCCCAAGGTGGTTTGTATGAATATTACATTTTGAGAAACAATTATCTATACATTGAACTCCAGGTCTTCTTACTCCTTCAAACACTAAAGCAATTGTTTGTAACATAACATATTTTAGACACAAGTTAGAGTAAGCATATTATATTTTCCTATTTGCTTAGGCATAGATCACTAAATATAATTTATTATTTTCCTGATGTCCGAGGGAGGGTCATCTCAACTAGTACCCCATGGTATTCACTCTGCCAAGAGCTTTATCTGATTTTGGTTTTCTCTTTCTCCAATTTCAGGCTGTGATATTTAGCTAATTTTGTCACTTGAGCCTCTCTCTAAAACTTATCTTCCAGTTTATTTCTAATTTCCTGGTGAGAAAGTTTCTGTCTCTGTTTGTTTTGCTTGTTATTGAAAAACCATGAAGCTTGACATAGCGATCAGCTATGTGGATTCAAACAAAAGTCTGGCGATTCTCAGATGCTTTGGGAGATTGCTATTGGGATCTGAGCATTGTTTGAGAAATCTGAAATTGGAAGAAGGTTAATGTCCTGATAATATGAGATGTCATTGCACTTTAAGATTCAATTTATAAGAAGAAATATAAAAATATCACAAGCTACTTAGCAGACATTTTTTAGCAATTTCAAGTTGATCATTTCAGTAAAACCACTCATGGGGTTAACCTGTCCCTAAATGAGTGAAGTTAGTATGAAGATAAGTGGTCTTTACACAGAGCAACCAAGCCAAACATTTGGTAGGTGTATTTTGAGGTCAAGTATACACGGTGGCAAGAACATAAATCTGGACTGGTTGAATAATTATTTTGATAGGACTTTCACTGTTTTGGAAAACTCCAACTCAGGGTTAAATTTGTGGAATCCAGGGGAGATGTCCAAGTAGTTTAAACGTAAGAATACTTGAAGTCAAGGATGTTTCTATGTAAATGCTTATAAAGAAATCGGTGGTTCTTTTTTCCTCCAGAGACATAGCAATTGTCGTTCTTAGTACCAGCTTTCAGTGAGGAAGCAGAATCCATAGATCCTAGCTAGTTAGGATGAGAACAAACTTATAGGACTGGAATTGTGCTAAGACCGCGGACTTGGGAAGGTGGCGTGGGCATGCAGGGCAGGGGAAACAAGAATGAAGGTCATTTGTGACTCAATGGCCATCAGATGGTGGACGCTAATCTCTTGGCCCAGTCTTCTTCTTTTCATTAATAACAGACTCTGAGAGTTGTTACAGAATCAGAGCAGTAGGTTGGCCAAAAGCACCCTTTTAAGTCCAGAAAAAAAGGTTTGCCTTGAATTTTACATGTGATATGTCATTTGTGTTATTAGACCACATTGTTTTTAGACCACATGGTTAACAGGGATGTTAAAACACATTGTGTATCCTGTTTCTTCCAAGTGCAATATGGTAGCCACTATTAAAACATCATTAATGGCATTTGTGTATCATAAAACCAGGAAAAAAATGGAATATCAATACTTGAGGGAAGAGGTTTTCTTTTACTTCATGAGTCTTGTTTTTTCTTTTGTTCTGCTTCACTTTCTGTACTCAGTACAGTAAGTGGAGCTTAGGTATACTACATCCACTAATTAGTTCAATAGGCAGAAAGTGCTAATCATCTATTCTCAGGGCAGATGCCCACTGGTGCCTGTAATAACACAGCGATAGGCTGAGGGATGGGTTCAAAATAACGCTGAGAACCTCAATGTTTACTCATAGTTGCTCCCTCTTCTCAAGCGAGAACGTGAATTCCTTTGTTCTACTATTTTCTCTCTTGTTTTTGCATTTGTGGACTTGATCTTTATAACAATCTTTACTTTTTAGATTGGTATTTTTTTTCATTGCACTCTACTTTAAATTTATGGTAAGTTAAGCACATGTACGAAAGGTTTGACTTTTGTCTATGGTTTGGGAAATTATCAGCACATTCACTGCTTTCCCCATTTCTTTATCCAAACACCTGTTTTTCCTTAACAAATATTACATTCCTGTATGAAGAATCTCAATTAGAAATTTTCAGTTAAAATGCATTGTTATTCATGACACAATGTCTCAAAAATAAATTTTCATTTGAAAGAAATGTTTCTCATTATTCTGTCAGGTGGGGATAAAAATCAGTGACTATTTTCCCATTTACATTTTTGGTATTTCAGTTTGAGAATACAACGAAAAGCCTGCCCTGCATACGCTTATCTTTGAACAAATTGGAGAAAGGAAGTCTCATTCTTTTTTATACATTTTGGTCATGTTCACATGTCACCAAGTTGTAAGAATGATGGACGCTGTGTTCCCTAAAACACTGCCTATTTAAACAATTATCATCACTAAACACAAAGGTGTTCACTTATAATTGGTTACAAAGAACTACTAACCGGAATAAATATATCAAAAAGCATAGTCAAGACAAATCTACATTGTGTCTTTTAACATGATCGAGTCTGATGTTTCAGAGATCTACAATTTGTACGCTTGTGTCTTCATCTATCTACCCATTCATCTGCCTCTCTGGCTATAGAAAAGCTGTTCATATTTCCCTGTCCACATACAGCTCAGTTTAACTTCATAATGCAGCTGATGATGTAATAATCCCAATTACCTTTTATCTCAAACAGGATTGGTAAGAATGGATTTTCTAAAACAACCATGGTAAAGATCGAGAGAATTCTCGGTCCATTACCATTCTAGCATTTATATCATGGAACAGAGTTTTATTTATCTCTGTATTTCCAGGGCCCCCACACACCTTACATAAACGACAGTTGTTGAGAAAAGTATTACTTTTTTTTTTAAATGTTCATTTATTTTGAGAGAGAGAGAGACAGAGAGAGAGAGAGAGGGAGGCCCAAGAGTGGGCAGAAAGAGAGGGAAAGAGAATCCTAAGCAGGCTCTACATTGTCAGTGCAGATCCTGACACAGGGCTCAAACCCACAAACTATGAGATCATGACCTGAGCTGAAACCGGGAGTTGGATGCTTAACCGACTGAACCACCCTGGCGTCCCCCACAAAAGACTGCATTTAATAGAGTGAGTTAATTTTAGCCCCATCACTGTAGAACTTTAGCCATGGCATTTTAAAATTTATCCCATTAGAAAATGCAATAACATCCACCTCAATTAAGAGATAAAATCAGATATTTAATCTGCACATGTTTTGCTGCTCTATAGTACTGTATGTAAAGAATAAAAGATTAGAATACTTCCTTTGCATTCTTATTCATAAATAGGCCTTCTAATACGTTCATGGCTAAATGCCCATGTAAATTTGATCTATTCCACACTGTAGATATTCTAAATTAGTAGCAAGTATGTTTCTTGTCCATGGTACTGAAAAACGTATAGGTTTTCAAAGAGAAAAGAAACATATGGATAGGTGTTCCCTCTGACTTGGTCTTCTGTGTGTGTGAATGTATGTGTGTGTGTGTGTGTGTGTGTGTGTGTGTATGTGTGTGTGTGTGTGTGTGTAAAGCACCTGTGAAAACAGCACCGTGCGATGCTTGTACTACAGGAAGACTGGTGACCTCATGTGTACGTGTACCAGGGACCACTGAGAATTCT